CCCAATTAACTAACCAAATATGAACTTGCTAAGCCAGGTATTTGTCCAAATTCTATTAGTTTCTTCAAGTGGGACTTAAAAACTACATCTTGAATTGTATAAGCCAATACCTAATCTTGGAAATTTGAAAATATGAATAACCCAAAAATATGAAGCATCAAATTGAGTTTGTTATCCTAGCCTTGATCAGACCTTCTTGAAATAATATCTCTACTGCTTCTTTTAGAAAGGGAAGCAAGCCGGAGTGATGCACACCTATTCCATGTTTCAAGAGTGGTAGCATATTAGATACCTGAAAGAATAAAACAAAATAGGAAAAACAAAATCCACATGTCACAACCTATTTGGCATAAACTGAAAGTAGCTTCAATGAGCAAATCTATATAATACTTCAGAACTACACATAAAGCTGTAAACCACAACTGAATCAAGAATCACCAGTAAATTTCATTAAGGTTTCAATATCAATCAAAATCACAATTCAGTAAGAAGAAATAATTCTAAATAATGCCATACATTATAAATTCTTTGCAACATGCATTTTACACGAGGAACCACCAGATCAAGTTTGAGAAATTTTGAAGAAAGATATGATAGGAGTTTGTAGGCCTTGTGCTACAAGATGAGATTACAGTGACTTAATCACTGCCCTTTGTACAAAAATAAAAATAAATAAATAAATAAATAATTCTATACAACATGCATTTTACATGCATGTGCATACTCAAAAATGCACAAGCATTTGCATGTTGACTTGGATAAAAAAGAAGACACAGGCACCGACAAATACATGCCAACTAGAAGAATAGAACTTGCCTGAGGTATCTTCTTATCGTTGTCTGAAAGCATGCCCATGGCATTCCAAAAGCTGATTTCAATGTTTGTTTTCTCATCATCATCATTCAAATCCAATTTTTCCATCTATAATTTTTTCAAAAGAAGGATGAGGACTAGGTACTTGAAGTGTATAAAATAGAAAAAAACCAAATAAACGAGAATAACACATATCCATATGGCATAATGCCAAACAGGTAAGAAGCCACACAACTTAAAATTGAAAACAATTATTGGGCAGTTAGAGAGATAACTAACTTCCTCATTTGCCTTATAACCCATATAAAAAACATATTTAAAAAACAGGCTTCACGGATGAAAAAAGAAGCCTACCTGCGTTGCAAGAAATTCACATTCCTTTCCACTGAAGCTGAATATAATCACAGGATCATATTAACGTCTAATAATTATTTTCACCAACTTGAAGATATCACCATCTTTGCCAACTTTCCCCATCACTAAACCCTTCTGTAACTTACTACTCTCTCTTTTTTTGTCACTTTCAGCTTTAGGAACAAGGGCATTTAAGGCTCTCTGAAAGCTGTCTTCCCTAAACCTTCCCCTTTCATCCACCACCATGTATAGACCCTCACCTCCAGCAGGGAAAATGTAATGCTGAAGGGGTGTTGGCTGATAATCGGTATAAACAATGTGATAAGGCTGCTGGTGGACCTGAAATGCATAAACTCAAAATAATCAGACATGTATCCATCACAATAAACTAAATAAACTTAATAAACTTTTAATGAGTGGCCTAAAAAATAGGAAAAGAATTGAGAACTTTTTATTAGCACATGTGCATGACCCGTTAGCAATATTTAATGGAATAAGAAAGAAAATAATACTTGGAATTTTGAATCTAAACATAGATTTAGTAGGATAGTGGAATGATTTTTGATGTCCTGATCTAGCTAATCTAACCCAAAACTCACATAAACGTTATAGGGAGTAGAAAAGATGCAACTTTGTTCCAGACAAAGAAATTGAAGCATTCGTGAATCACCTTAGCGACCCAATCAGCAAATTCTTTCGCATTAGACACAGTTGCTGAGAGAAACACAAATCTAGAGTTTTTTGGTGCCATGACAGTACTCTCTCTTCACATACGACACCTCTCTCTCTATCACGCATGAAGTGCACCTCATCAAAAACAACCCAAGCAACTTCCCGGATGATCTCAGATCCTCCGTCAAGCATAGCACGCCAGATCTCAGTGGTCATTACCTGAAAAACAAACCATCTCCAAGGAGACCATAAAACAAAACACACACATATTAAGAAAGTTGCAAAGAGACTTACCAAGCATGAAGCATTGGGCTCAATTGTTACATCTCCAGTCATCAAACCAGCATCAGAAAACTCTTCTTTAAACTCCCTAAACTTTTGGTTGCTAAGTGCTTTAATTGGTGAAGTATATAAACAGTTTTCCCAGCAGAAGTATGAGCTGAAACCTGAAAATATATAGCAAGCTTAAGCTTAAGCTACGAGATGCCAATATAAAAAAGGGCCAGAAAGCATAAAGTTTTGTTCAAGTGACAACATACCATGACGGACTCACCATTGTCAAGGCACTTGATAGCTTCAGATTGAAAAGGGTCAAGTGATGGGGGAGTCTTTGGAGCATAACCCTGCTCCGGGTAGGAGACATCATGTAGACAGGCCAGGCGGTCGTCGGAGGCAGCCGAATCATTGTCTTTTCTCTGTTTGAGCGGCGGAGAGGAGTCGGCGAATGGGCCTTCGGCCGACTTCCTCTTGGAAGAACCCATTAATTAAAATTAAATAGTAATTGCCTCCCTTAAGTCTTCTTCTTTATGAAATCTGTAAAGCCTAAACACAGAGAGAGAGAACCTAGTAGCTTAGCTCTTTCGCGCTAAGGACGGAACCGGACGGGACGGGACGGCGGCCGGAGGAAGAGAGAGCATTTAACGTGAAATTATTAAGCGTTAACACCGTTATATATCCCCGTGATATTCTAGAGTTTCTCCACCATTATCTGTTAGGTTGTGTTTTCTGCAAAAGCCACCATACAATGACCACCTTGTTTCCATTCTCCGATCACCACCATCACCACCGTCTACCTTCTCCTTCTCCAACCGAGCTTTACCTCCAACCGAGCTTTCCCTCCATACCCAAGACTCCTCCCCTCCCACGTAACCCTCGGCTTCTTTCTTCCTTCGGTTTCCCCTTTCTTTCTTCATGCAGATCTTCGGCCTCTCAATCCCCTTCCCGCTGCAGATGGCTCATCCTCTTCAACCAGCCATGGCTTTTCATCCTACCGATCCCTTTTCACCTTTTCTTCCCCTGATTTTCCCCTTTCCTCAAGACAGTTAACAGGCGTCCTTTTTCTCAAGATCACCGGTGATTTCCGAGAACCACTGCCGCAGTCCAACATCGCCTACGCCGGCGAGTGAACAATAGAACAAGAGCAAATGAAGCCGGATCTAGCAATTCGCGACAGCGGTGCTGTTCACGCGAGGATGCAGCGATTCGGCGAAACCTCAGTCGTCATCCAACTGAAACAGATCTGCAGACTAAATCTGTGCCAGCTAGGGATCACGAGTGGGTGACGACAGGATGAATTGGGCGTAGATTGAAGGCCCAAATGCATTTTGCAGATTTTTGTAGAAGGGTAAAGATCGGAGAGGCCCTAATGCATGTTGCAGATTCTGGTAAAGAAGAAACAGATTTGAGAAGCCCAAAAGCCGTGGATCCAAAAGGCTCGGAGAGTTGATTTCTGGAAAGTTCTTTTTAGGGTTTCTTTGTTTGGGTATAAATAGAGGGTTTTAGGTTAGAAATGGGGGGGTTTCTTTTGGTTTTGAGTCTGGTGTTGACGGCGGAGAGAAGGGGGTTTTTTCTGTTGGAAGGAGATTGGTGTTTGAGAAAAGAGATCCTCAAGTTGCAAGAGGGATTCCATCTTTCGGTGTTTATTGTTAGTTATAGTCCTGAACTCAGGATTCTTTTAGGAAAATGGTGAAGCAGATGGTGGGAGCCTGATCCCGTGGGTTGGATTCCTCCCATCAAATCCAGTTCTGTTTTTTCCTTAAAAAAATCCACACTGCTTGTTTTTATTTTCTGTGGGTGTTTGATTTCTTTCATATGTTTCGTTGGAAAATGAACGAAAAATCATAGATTTTCTAGTTTATTTGTCTGATGAATATGTTTATCTTTTGCTGGAAATGAGATGCAATTAATATGAAGCCTAAGTTTCTCTTGTTCAGAGTTTATTTTTATTTTTATTTTTTTTTTTTTTTTTTAAGGTTTGATCTGCTTTTCGTTGTCTGATGGATCATGTTTTAGGAGAAAGTCTGGAATATAACGGTGTTAACGCTTAATAATTTCACGTTAAATGCTCTCTGCCGTTACATGGGTGAGCTGTATCGGTGGTGCTGAGTTGTTATCTTTTTATTGGTTCGGGATACCACTGACGTGGTATCCCCGTGATATTCTAGAGTTTCTCGCATGCACCTGACTTTTGCCTCAAGAAAGGCAAGGCAAAAGCCTAAGAATAGCCCCTTACCTTGATAAGTTGGACGGTTTTGGTTCCTCACCTTATAATATAACGGTTTTAACCTCTAACCTATAAGAATGGAAGAAAATAGTCCTTTTTTGTAACTTCCGTTCGTTGGGCTGTTACTGTCTGTCACTTCCGTCCCTTCCTCCGTTATCTTTTCGTTAACTTTCTCAAAGCTTCTCCAAGAAGCCTGCTGCATTTCTTTTGGGAATTCAAACCTTTTTTTTTTTTTTTGAGAATTCTAATATTTTTTTATCTTTATTTTTAAGATGGCTGCACATGTATTAATTATATATAATTTTTACATATTATTAAATACATAGATATAATTAATATTATAGGTCTCAAATAAATATAAACAATAAATAAAATATATAATACAATCAAAAAATGATTTGGAC